CAGGAGCAGTAGCAGCAGGAGTAGTAGTAGTAGTAGTAGCAGTAGTAGTAGCAGTAGCAGTAGCAGTAGCAGTAGCAGTAGCAGTAGCAGTAGTAGTAGTAGTAGTAGTACTACTACTTAGTAGTAGCAGCAACAGGAGTAGTCCGGTAGTAGTGGTGGCAGGAGCAGCTGCAGAAAGCGGCAACTTTAGCAGCAAAGCCCCATAGACCCCGAAACCCGAATGACCATCGGCTGTCGGCTTTCGAGGCACAGGAGACTCTTGCAGGGACCCGAACATGTTTGTGTAAACTAGGTCCACAGCAACGCAACACCTGCAGTCTCTGCAGCTCAGCTGCCAGCCGCCTGACGTCCATGCGAACTTGCTCGAATGCTTCCTGAGCACAGGAGATGCTCGCTGCAAAGCCTGCCTTGAACTTTGCCTATCTTACATTGCACGTGATCTCATCTTGCAGATTACATCCTTCTCCAACCCTCAGGCACGAAGGCGGAATCTGTCTCCACGCCAAAGTTTGGCTTGCACCACCTCTTTCATTTTGGTCAGACGCCAGAACCCAAGTCAAACAGGCACACAGGATGGTTTAGGATCCGCTTAAGCCAGAGGCGTCTTGTTCACTTGGGAGGTGTGAACTGCAAAGTCAAACCCCACGTAAGCTCCAACAGCTGCACTGCGAGCATCATCGACTTCAGGAATTCCGATGATGCTGATCAACGAGGTCACGGTCATGCGCTGAAGACGGCGACTGAGGTTATAACGCTCCTGCGGAAAGAGAGTTTCTGGCAGGTGGCGCAAGCAGCAAAACGAGACTGTCCCCACAGCCCTATGCACAAATATCGACCGTCAGTACTCTGACTTACTCCAAGAGCCTAAGTCCGCGAAAGAGAGCGCACTTTCATCGTATACAACACGGCAACTCTTGACAGGGAGGCATCCTTGGGCAATGCCTTGCACACCAAAAACTGCACATCCCTCTGTAGACTTGTGCCTTGCATGGCAGCACCGACGGAGTTTCTGCCTTCTTTGCCTTGCACAGGCTCTGGGAGTGGGTTGTAAGGCTCCAGTCCGCAAGCTTCCAGGCTTCAGGGCCACGGGCATCGGCATTCGGTGGATGTTGGGCTGTGGCGGGGGCTCACTCATTGGAACACTTAGTGTTGTGGCGTAGATGATGTTACATATTATGCATGGGGAGGACAGGCTTTTTTTTGAGCTGTTGGGTTGCTGGACCTTGTTTTGACGCGTCTTGCGGAGTGCCGAGAAGCTCGAATTACATGGCCTGGCCCGCGGAGTATTCTATACCCCTTATGAAACTGTACTACTTGAATGTTCCGCAGGAGTGCCCCACGGGTGCTGTTTGCTAGGATTCTAGGGGAATGGGGGCCGGTGTTCGATAAACCGCTAATCCGAACTAACCCCCTAAACGCCGAATCCTAAACCCTAAAAAACACTAAACCCCAACCTTTGTCTGCCCACTTCCCCCCCCCCCCACTTTTCAGGGGCCTCGAGCAATGCAAGAAGTTCTTCAGCCTCCGCTTCCACTCCCACCTCTCAGGGCTCGACACTGTGGTAGGGGCTTTGGGGATTAGGGGTTGGGGGTTTTGGGGGTTTTGGGGGTTTAGCAGTTAGCGTTTTAAGATTCAGGGTCAGGGTTTTGGGTTCATCACGGCCTTATAGTACTTCATCCGAAGCATTGCATGGCTCACGGATGTTCTTAGGGGTGCAGTACGCTTCAACGTCTGAGATCGAGTTCCGGGTCTCATCTGAGCGAGATCTCAACAGCCACTGTGAGCCCTGATTTCGCCTCTCGTAGCTTGGCACGGATGTGTGGCAGAAGGAGGTCGACGAGCTGCTCGGGCGCAAACCGCTGAAGGAGAAAGCGCTGGCTTCGGTCCGGCTTGGAGATGCGCCTGTGGTCCTGCATGGCACTGCTTGCTCGTAGTTCAGCACAGTGGCAAATCAGTTTGTGAAATATCCACCGAATGGCTATAACAACCATTGAGATCCCGAGACCCCGGTTTGGTGAGGGACTGACGGTGTCCCAAGAGGAACTGCCACGACCCTGCAACCCCGAAGCCAGAACAGCCGGGTCCGTGTGGTGGCAGAACTGGCAACCTGCATTGCGGCACGCAGCACTCTTGGAGACATAGACGCAGGGCCGGCGGCACAAGAAAGGATGTCCCCAACTGCCCGGGTTGTCGAGGTTGTAGTGCAGGCCTGAAGAGTCAAGCGAAATCTGAACCATCATGCTGCCGCTTCAAGGCATGATACCGGCAGTGAACCGAAAACAACAAAAACTAAGAAAACAAATGGGAACAATAGTAACAAGTATCACCAGCATCATCATGGTGCTCATGTTGATGACGGTGATGATGATGACGATAATCGTATTCATAACCCGTTGAAGTCGTCACAACTTGCGTTGCGCAAAGAATTATCACACTAATTGCCGCAACTACCATACAGATCACTAAGAAAAGACCCAGATAACAACGGTACAATCTTGTTGGGCGCCAACTTTACGACGTCTGCAGCAACGAAAAGGTGTTTGAGGGGTGCAGCAGCCATTTGATCTCTCATTTGGGTGCAGCTTGCAACCAGGCACCGTTTCGAAGCGTTTTAAGGCCGTCCTATGCTGCCGCCAACAGCTAGTTGGAAACGTGTCAGAACATCTGTGTCACTTCGCAACCTTCAACACATGTCAAGCCGCAGACGCGTCGCGGGTCATGTTTGCAAGTTGGGCTAGTTTCCGTCAACGAATGAGGTTCTCACATGCGGTGTAGATCGCTGTCCGTGCAGGGCAAGCAGAGCACACTTTCGCCCAGCATCGCATCCTTTCTACAGTCCGATGCTGCCTGACGCCACACACATTCATGCAAAAGTCCAGAGCCGCGTGTCGTGCCCATGGGGGCAGGAGGAGGGGAGGGGCGGGGGGCTGACCATATATATACATATATATATGTATATGCATACATATATATATATATACACATACATATACATATGTATTTATGTATATAATAGATGTAAACATGTGGATAAGCTACACCTGCGAAGGACAGTGCTACGCGTTGGTGGGGCCTTCCTCAGGGAGTGCATCTCGTTGAGACGACGTGCCACGTTTGAGGACTTCCTCCAGGGATCCAGAAGGATAATTCACCTGAGCTGCTTTAGGGTTTAGGACATTTAGAAGTGGCCTGCTTCAAGGTCACAAGTTCTGATATGATCTTAAGCGAGCGCGGCATGTCCCTGCTGCACTGCTTCACGCGGCATCATCTGCGAGCATCTGAGATCTTGCTGCTGCAGCCACGACACATCAGGAGGCGGGAAGGAGCGAAGGACCGATTGAAGGCTCACCATCATCGCCGCACCGCAACGAAATAAAAAAATTGCCAGCACAAAAGTGAGGCTTGTTGCAAAAAGCCAGAGCCGCAGCGGCATCCGGATGATCACGAATTCAGCGAGTGGATCAACCAGGCTGAAGGCTCCAGAAACTTGCATACATAGGTACACACATGCAGACAGACAGGCAGACAGACAGCCAGCCAGACAGACAGCCAGGCAGGCAGGCAGACAGACAGACAGATACACATGCAGACAAACAGACACAAAATGCATCACGGTTGCTTGCTACGTACTGCGTCAAGAATTGAAACACATTCTCAGCAAAGCTACGAGCTGTGTCTTCTGACTGCACTCACAGTCGTGCCTGAAATGCCTCATACCTGATCTTAAGCCAAGGGGGACCTGGACCCTACGTTTAGGGTTTAGGGTTTAGGGCTTAGGCCCAACATTGACTTCAGACACGGGAGTTCCTCAGCGCCCACTCGGTGTCTATGAACTGGACCGGACCTCGAAGTCTCTTTCTTGGCTCAAGGCTCACCCAAATAGCCCAATACACCTTAATTAAGGAATATACCTTAAACTATAGGGGCCTTAATATTTATGATTTAAAGCATATTCCTTAATTAAGGGGTATTGGGCTCAAGGCTCAAGGCTTGGGATTGTCTGTTCGATGCTACTCCAGGCTTCCTCGTCCCGAACGAACCTGATATGCATCGCTGCTTGAACGGAACCCTGCAGGAATCCCTTAAGGACCCCATAGAAATCCCCAAACCCTTGGAAAACCTGCCTATGCCGCCGACTTCGAAGACATCGAAGCGCACGGAAATATCCGAAGAAACGGAACCCTGATATTAAGAATCCTGTATTGATAGAAGGAAGGACCCTGACGAGAAGGAGCCTTGGTTGAGCGGGACTAAGCTCGTTGCTTCAAGGACCGGAGCTGACGATTTAGGGTTTAGGGTTTAGGGGTTTAGGGGTTTAGGGGTTTAGGGTTTAGGGTTTAAGGTTGAAGGCACACGGATAAAATGCGTAAACAGGACGTCGCAATGGGAAGGAACTTCTTTTAAGTATCTTGCCTTCCGAAATCAAAGCCCGCAACGAGTGTCGAGCAAACCGTATTACCCTAAATCCTAAGCCCTATATTGGCCTAAATTCTAAAACCTGCGCCTAAACCGTATACCCTAAAACCCGAACAACCTCCCAGCCGGATGAAAGCCCGAAATCCCGATCCGAGCTTCCGGCATGGCACCTCGTACCTCGAGAAGGTCGCGACAGGCTACCATGGAGCAGGAATCAGCACTTCCATGAAACATGTTATCAACTTACTTTTCATAACCAATAAGGATCTTGTATGGTCCTGTTTGTCAGTGAACGTCACGAACCTTGGGACCTAACCACAACCTCCATCATGCAGTTCCAGCCGGCCCTCGATCCGAAATTCCGGAACCATGGCTTGGCCTTGCTGTGTTGCATGCACCGAACAGCGTGGCGTTGGTGATTAGGCCCAGGCCCAGTTCCTGCAGGCAAGGACAGCCTTTGCCTGACACATATACATAATACATATACATACACATATACACATATATACATACCTACATATATATATATGTAGATATACACACACATACATGTGTATGTATATATATATATATGTGCATATACAAAATGTATGTGCATATATATATATGTATATAAACAGATACACATACCTACACATATAGGCATACATACCTATACACATAGTTACATCCATCCATCCCTCCCTCCGTCCGTCCATCCATCCAGCCATGAATGCCTGTATGTATACGCATGCAAGCATACACGCAAGCATGCATACACATGTGCATGCTTACCTGCATTCTTGCATACATCTGTGCAGACACACTTGCATACAAAACACGTACATGTGCTACATGCATGCATGCGTTCTTCTTCAGGTGTTTGTATATTTGTGCACATGCGCATACACAGGCACCTACACACATACATATATGTATATCTAGAAAACACATGTATATGTATATGTGTATATGTGTAGCAGTGTAGATATGTATGCTCGCCATATGTGTATGTATATGTGCATGCATATGTATATTTGCATTATATATATATATATCTGTGTGTGTGTATACAT